CCAGTCCCCTCGTCCTGGTCGCCGTCCCCCTTGTGCGTGAGCCTGTCCGTGACCGCCTGGCCTCTTCCTGCTTCTTCGGCGTCTTCGCCCGCGTGGAAGGCGAACGTGTCCGAGCCCTCCCTTTCTCTACCCTCTTGACCTTCTTCAGTTTTTCCTCTTTCTTCTCCTTCCTGGCGTCCGAGCTGTCGGATGAGCGGGACCCTCCTCCTCCTCCGCGACCGCGAGCGCCTCACCTTCATGCTCTGCTTGCTTGTCGCCGCTTGTTGACGCGGTGCAGCTACCACCACCAGAGCCGTCTCCACCACCTCCTTCTTCACGTACTCCTGCTTGCCGTGCTGCTGGGTCACCAGCGCCTTCTGCTGCGGCGCCTCCACCGCTGCCAGCGCCTCTGCCTTGCCCCTCTCCTCCTCCAGGGGCGTCATCACGTCCAGGCTGGAGAAGGGCGCGTCCAACAGTCTGGTCTCCTGGCCGCCGTGCTCGTCGTGTACTTCGCGATCAGGAACTCCTTGTGTCACCACCCACCAAACCACCCCAACCCAACCCGAAGGCTCGGATTTACCCTCGATTTCCAGTGGGGGGGGTCGGGAAACATCGAAAAAACACATGTGGAACCCTTACCCCACCCAACCCGAAATTCGTATCTTCGGGTTGGGTTGGGGTGGTCTGAAGAGGAGGAGGAGGAGGAGGACCAGCTAGGTGCGCTCGCGTCATATCTGACGTCCTACCCCTCCCTCCCATCCCTTACCATGGCGCTGATTTTCTCTATCCGCGGACGCGTGTCGTAGCGGACCTGTGGCTCCGCGCGCGCGTGCGTAACTAGTGGGTGGTGGTGCGCGTGCGTGCGTGCTGTGCGTGTGTGCGTGGTTGTGTGGTGCTGTGGTGGTTGTGGTGGTGCGGTGCGGGTGGTGCTGGTGGTGGTGGTGGTGGGATGGCGCTGATTGCTGGTGGTGGTGTGGTGGTGGTGGTGGTGGTGGTTGTGGTGCGGCGCGGTGGTGGCGGGCGGATGGGCGCGCGAGAAAGAGGCCCGCGCTGGGGCGAGAACGCCATACTGAACGACGGAGGCCAAACACCGATCCGAAAATGAGGCCCACGCTGCAGCGGGAGCACGATTCGGAACGATTCGGGAGCAGAAGTGAGGCCGGCGCCTCAGCGAGAGCAGCATTTTGAAAAAAACGCAGGCGAAAACCCGTTTCCCGGGAATTCTGTGTGTAAAAAACAGTACGCGGGGGGGTCGGATATCTTCGGGACGCCATCAGGGGAAGTGGGAGAGTATTTTCATATTGTGTAATTGTGGAGGGCGGAGGAGGAAGAGGAGGAGGAGGAGCAGGAACATTAGGAAAAGGATGATGATGATGATGATGATGATGATGATGATGATGATGATGATGATGATGATGATGATGATGATGATGATGATGATGATGATGATGATGATGGTTGTGATGGGATTGTGATGTGATGTGATGATGCTGATGCTGATGCTGAGGATGATGCGCTGCTGGTGATGTATGAAGATGATGCTGATGATGAAGATGAAGATGACGTGATGAGATGCGCTGATGCAGATGCTGATGACGAAGGTGGAGGAGGAGGAGGAGGGGGAGGAGGAAGATTAGGAGGAGGAGCCGGAGGAGGAGGCGGAGGAGGAAGAGGAGGGAGGGAAGGAGGAGGAGAGGAGGAGCAGAACATTAGGAAAAGGTTGATGATGATGACGATGATGATGATGCTGATGATGATGATGATGATGATGATGCTGATGATGATGATGATGGTGATGGTGATGGTGATGGTGATGATGCTGATGCTGAAGATGATGCTGCTGCTGGTGATGATGAAGATGATGCTGATGATGAAGATGAAGATGATGAAGATGCTGATGATGAAGATGCTGATGACGAAGGTGGAGGAGGAGGAGGAGGAGGAAGAGAAGGAGGAGGAGGAGGGCGGAGGAGAAGAGGAGGAGGAGGAAGCAGGAACATAGGAACAGGTGATGATGATGATGATGATATGATGATGATGAAGATGATGATGCTGGTGATGATGATGATGATGGTGATGATGATGATCGATGATGGTGATGGTGATGGTGATGATGCTGATGATGAAGACGATGCTGCCTGCTTGTAATGGTGATGACGATCGACGATGATTGATGGCGATGATGATGACGATGATGATGATGCTGATGAGATGATGGTGAGATGATGTTTTTTAAGTGTGATGATGTGATGATGATGATGATGATGATGATAGCTGATGATGATGATGATGATGATGAGGAAGGGGGATGATGAGATGATGATGATGATGTGAGGTGATGAGGATGATGAGGATGATGATGATGATGATGATGATGGTGATGTGATGATGATGATGATGATGATGATGATGATGATGATGATGATGATGATGATGATGATGATGATGATGATGATGATGATGATGATGATGATGATGATGATGATGATGATGATGATGATGATGATGATGATGATGATGATGATGATGATGATGATGATGATGATGATGATGATGATGATGATGATGATGATGAGTAGGAGGAGGAGGAGGAGGAGGAGGAGGAGGAGGAGGAGGAGGAGGACGATGAGGGCGAGGGGGAGGAAGACATTTTTGGCGGAACCACGGATGTATGGTAAGTTCTGCTGACATCAAGTTTTGCCGGCCCAGATGACTCCAGAAATATTGTGAATCAATGCGTTCCTGGAGAGACTTCCTGGTTTACTGCGTTGTGGTTCTTAGTGCGTCCCCCCGGCGCGAAGATCGTTTAAACGACGTCTGATCCTCCTAGATCGACCTCCGCTCGCCCATTCGCCGATAGGGGCCCGATAGCGTATCCCGCCAAGGAGCGAGTGGTTGCTCTAATTGGAGCCCGTTGCCGATACGTCGGCGACGCCTCGCCGATTTCACGCCAAGGCTTATCCCCCTGAGCCAGTCTCCCCCCGTCGTTGCCCGTCACTGTAGGGCGACATGACGGGCGGGCGAGGAGGGAGGCGATGAGGAAGGGGGGCGAGGAGGGATGTGAGGAGGCAGGAGGGAGGAGGGGATGGGGGCGGGGGTGGGAGGCGAGGGGAAGTGAAGCAAGAGTGACGCGAGGACGCGAGGACGGAGGGGGGCGGGAGGATGGAGGGGGGGGGTGCTCCCGCCTGGGGCGAGGAGCCCCCGCGGCACGACGGCCAGCTCGCGTCGACGACCAGCGCCTGGAAGGAGGCGGAGGCGCAGACGCAGAGGCCTCGCGCTGGGCCTGCTCGTCGTCGTCGTCGTCGTCGTCGTCGTTGTCGTCGTCGGGGACATATCTTTTTCCATGGGACACACACACACACTTCTAGAAGGTACTCCTCATCCCTCACTCTTGTCTGGCCCCTCAACTCTCAGCTTTTACTCAGGCTGCCGCTGCCGCGCTGGGGCTAGGAGCCACCGCGATGCAGGGGAGAAGAAGAGAAGAAGACGACGAATAAGACACAACGTGAGAAAACGAAGCCGACGAAGAAGACGAAAATGATAAACAGACGAACAATGCGACTACTAAGACAAAGACAACTAAAACGAATACGAGTCACAATCTACAACTACAAGTTCGAATGCGAACTCTCACACCACTGATACGAATGATCGCCATGATACGATGAAGAAATGCACCAATAATACTTTGGCACACGATATCGTAGTCGTCATACTAAGAATATTGTGACTGATTTGACATCGTTGACTATCCATAATTCCTGGTTTCATAGTAACCATCCGGAAAAGTCTAGCACGATTTCTAACACTACTACAGAAGAGTTGCCGCCGTCGGTGGATAGGGTGGAGGGGTGAGACGCGTAATGATGGTTAGGGGCAACGTTAGGGGGGTGCAGGCTCGGGGGGTAACGCATCGACCCCCAAATTGCCCATTCGGCGCAGACAGGGGCCGATAGCTCCTCGGCTCAGGGGCGTGCAGTTTTGCCATCAGGGTGCCATCGCCGATCCATCGGCGATGTACCGCCGATCCCCGCTCCATGTCCCCCCCCTCTCCCCTTCCCCGTAGCGGGTCCTTCCCCTAACGTTACCCTCAGAAGGGGGGGAAGGCGTCAGAGGCTGGGGCCTACCCATGATATAGCCACCGTCTCCTCCCCCCTTCTCCCATCCCTCCGCATGTCAACCACTTCGACAGACCCAGTACAGCGCTTCGTCATCTCACGGAGAGCTTCACCCAAGCCCCAGTGGCCATGTTCGCATGTGGCCGCCCCGCCCATTTCGGCACACTCCTCATAAGTTTCATGGCCCCATCGGGAGCTCCACCTACGGCCCCAGTGGCGGTGTCCACATGCGGGTGCTCTTCTTCATCACGGCACACCTTTCACACGCTTCGTGTCCCAATAGGGAGCGCTTTCCGAAGGCCCCAGCGTCAGGGCCCGCATGCCACGCGTTGTGGTTCGACAGGGAGCTCCACCGAAGGCTACAGTGACAGCGCCCGCATAGCGGCCCCACCCAATTTCGGCACACCACCCCTCACACGCTTCGTAGCCCCATGGGGAGCTCTACTCAGGGCCCCATCTGTCATGGCCGCATACGGCCGCCTGACCGATTTTGGAACACCCCTCACACGCTTCGTGGCCCCATATTGATCTCCTTCTCAGGCCCCAGCGGCGGTGTCCACATGCGGCTGCCCCTCGCCACCTCGGCACACACTTCAAACGCTTCGTGTCCCCACAGGGAGCTCCACCTGAGGCCCCAATGGCCATGTCCGCATGTGGCCGCGCGACCCTTTTCTGCAAACACCTCGCACGTTTCATGGCCCCACAGGGCGCTCCACCGAAGGCCTCAGTGGCCATGTTCGCATATGCGGCCGCTCCACCCATGTCGGCTCACCCCTGGCACGTGTCGTTGCCACATAGGAAGTTCCTTCGGAGGCTCCACTGGCCACTTTCACATGCGACCGCCCCACCCATGTCGGCACACCCTTCGTACGGTTCGTGGCCCCACAGGGCGCTCCACCAAAGGCCCCGGTGGCGGTGACTACATGCGGCCGCCCCACCCATTGCGGAAAGTCCCACACACGTTTCGTGTTTTCACAGGGAGCTCCTTCGCAGGCCCCAGTGGCGGTGTCCACCTGCGGTCGCCCCACCCATGTCGGCGCACACCTCTCACGCTTCGTGGCCCCATAAGGAGCTCCACCAAAGGCCTGAGTGGCGGTTCCGCATGGCGGCCCCGCCACATTTCGGCACACCCTTCGCACGGTTCGTGGCCCCATAGGGAGCTCCACCGAAGGACCCCGCGGCGGTGTCCACATGCGGTCATTCGTCTCCATTTCGGAACACCCTTCACACGCTTCGTGGCCCCATTGGGGAGCTCCACCGCGGGCCCAAATGCCAGGGCCCGCGCGTCACGCGTCGTGTCTCCATAGGGAGCTCTATCGAAGGCTGCAGTGACAGCGCCCGCATGGCGGCCCCGACAAATTCTGGCACACCCCTCACACGTTTCGTGGCCCCATACGGGGGGCTCATAGAAAGCCCCAGTGACAGCGCCCGCATGGCCGCACCGCCCCATGTGGGCACATCCTTCGCACGTTTCGTGGCCCTATAAGGAGATCCACAGAAGTCGAAACTCACATCGATGGTGCGCGCTATTGCATATACTTAGGTCCTTCGCCACGCTATTTCCCCACCCCGCATCATACGTGTGGTTGTTGTATTCTCTGGACCCCCCGCGCAGGACGGATCTACTTCCACTGTCCCCATCTCTTTTTACACGCCCCCATTGACTCCACCGTCGCCATTATTATCGCCACCGTCACCATCCTCATCACCAACCTCATCCGCATCCATATGATGCTGCTGATGATGATGATGATGATGCTGATGCTGATGCTGATGCTGATGATGATGCTGATGATGATGATGACGATGATGCTGATGATGATGACGATGATGACGATGATGACGATGATGATGAGGATGAGGATGAGGATGAGGATGATGATGCTGCTGATGCTGATGATGATAATGTTTTTGAGGATGATGCTGATGATTGTGATGATGATGCTGATTATGATGATGATGCTGATGCTGATGATGGTGATGATGGTGATGATGATGATAATGATGACGATTATTTTGATGCTGATGCTGATGATGATGATGATGCTGATGCGGATGCGGATGCTGATGCTGATGCTGCTGATGATGATGAGGATGATGATGCTGATGCTGATGCTGATGCTGATGCTGATGCTGATGCTGATGCTGCTGCTGATGCTGCTGATGACGATGCTGCTGATGATGATGCGGATGCTGATGCTGATTCTGATCATGATGCTGACTATGATGACTATGATGATGCTGATGATTCTGATGATGCTGCTGCTGATGATGATGATGATGATGATGATGGCGATGAGGATGATCATGATGATGATGGTGATGATGATGGCGGTGATGATGATGTTGCTGATGCTGATGATAATGATCATAAGCAGCATCAATACCATCTCCATATTCATCTACATCTCCATCTCCATTGTTCTGTGTGTTGTGTGTGTTGTTGGCTCTGTTTTTGTCCTCTTATGGTTCCTTGCGTTCTTGATGGGATTGATGGTCATTCATGTCGGTGTCGCTGATGATGGTGATGCTGAGGATGACAGCGATGACGACGATGATGATGGTGGTGGTGTTGATGATGGTGATGCTGGTCATGATGCTGTTGTTTTTGATGATGAAGCTGCTCATGATGCATACGATGCTGATGATTGTGATGGTGACGATGATGGTTTTGGTGGCTGTGATGCTGCTGATGATGATGGTGATCTGATGGTGATGGTGACGATGACTATGATGATGATGAGGATGATGATGATGACGATGGCGATGCTGCTGCTGATGATGATGATCATGATGATGATGATGATGATGATGGTGACGATGGTGATAATTATGACGACGACGACGATGATGATGCTGCTGACGACGACCATTCTGATTGTGATGATGATAATTCTGAGGCTGATGATGACGATGATCTCGATTGAGGCCGATGGTCGTTGTGCTCATGACGATGATGATGATGATGATGATGATGATGATGATGATGATGATGATGATGATGATGATGATGCTCATGCCGATGATGATGATGCTGATTATGCGCTGTTTGTCGTTGTTTGATGATGATGGTGCTGACGTTGATGTGGCTGCTGTCGTTGATGGCAATGGTGGTGCTGATGCTGATGCTGATAAAGATGATGATGCTGATGACGATGCTGATGCTGATGCTTCTGATGATGCTTATGGTTGTTGTTATGATGATGGTGATGCTGCTGGTAGTGATGCTCATGATGATGCTGCTGATAATGATGATGCTGATGGTTGTTGTGATGATAATGGTGATGCTGCTGGTAGTGATGCCGATGATGATGCTGCTGATGATGATATGATGGTGATGCTGATTCTGGTGATGATGTTGTTGTTGTTGTTGTGGTTGTTGTTGTTGTTGTTGATGATGATGATGATGATGGTGATGATGATGCTGATGATGATGATGGAGATGATGATGGTGGATGTGGTGGTGTTGGTGGTCATGCTGATGGGGATGATACCCTGCACTGAACGTTCTGGACGACCAAACGTTGTGGTGTATGCTTCGAGCCCCTCCCAAACATGTATCCCCCTCGTCTCCTGTCGTTGGCGGTGGAGCTTCCGCGTCCGCCGTGCCGTCCGCTGCTAGACTCGCGACGGTCGCGCACGCCGGCAGTCCTGCAGCACCTCCTTCCTCCTCCCCTCGCCCTCTCGAGCCTCGAACCCCAAACCTCCTCCACCTCCTCGTCGAAGCCCGATGTCCTCCTCGCACTCGAACTTCTCACCGCCCCACGACGACGACGGGCGCGCCCCAGAGGCTGAAGCTCAGCGTGGGCCTCTCGCCCGGCTCAAGGCTCGAGAAGTCGATGCTCGAGACCTCGCCGCTCCTGTCTAGAACCAGGACC